ATCATTTTATAATTTTAAATCAACGACTTAACAATTAAACTGCAACCATCATTCTAATCCAATTTATATTTAACCCTATGAAATTTCACCGAATCTCAACAACTCATACACTTGTAAACATTAAAATACCTTAAAATATTTTATACATCATAGGTGGTTAAATATAACTACCAGAACTGAGAAAAAAAGTGACTTGGGATTGTTCAAATCAAGGAAAAACAAAACCTTTGGATTGCTATTGATTCTTGGAATTCTAGCAATCTCTGAGCCAGTTTAACTTATTTGAAGGCAAAGGAGTTAATGAACAACCACTACTGTCTCTCCTTGTTGGAGGCAAAGCGACGTGGAACCCTAATTTCCCAACCTTTACCATGTGTCTGTCTTTCTGCTTGTATTAATTCTTGTTTTTCTTCGTCCCTATCTGCAGGTGCAGAGGGGTAATTTCTCGACTTTCTATATACCTTGCTTTTTACCTACTTACTTTTCCTGCCTTTTTTTTCACTTCACAAAAATTACCCTCGTCAATCAATCTCTTTCGTGATTAATACGAGAGATGGTAAGAGGCTTATAATCAGGTACGAAGTTAAAATCAAATATTAAGAAAGATAATAATTTATTAAATATTTAAATTAAAAATTAAGATGAACAAATACTTTATTTGACTAATATTCAAACTAATAAGTACCTAAAATGCTATTCAACCAAAAATTTTGGGATCGACTCTACACACAACAAACCCTAAACGTGTCACTATGCATATAAAACTCATTCTCTAAATCTCAATTTGTTTCCTCATCGAATATGTTAACATTTCTGATAGAGTCAAACATATTAGTATTAAGAGACAAGCTGGATAGAACTACATCTGTAAATCGTTCTAGCTCTATCTTGACTGGAGAAATGTAGACGGAGAAAATAGCGAAGGGTTGAACACAATCTCAATTAGAACATATACATTAACCTTGTCGGGTTAAATGAAAGGATGTCGAACTAATGGAAATAAGATGTCGAATTGAATTTTTTTGGGATAAAAAACAATAATAGGAAGATATTTTTAGGGTTCAACCCAAATGGAGTCCGGAGCAACCAAAACCTAATTTAATTATTGGACAAGGAAGGTGTCAAACCAAAATATGAATGCATGTATCTATCTGTATAAATGTGTGTCTTGTCATTCCAGCCAAGGTACAAGCAAACCTATGGGTAAATTTTCGTATATCTCTCCCTCCCTTTTCTTCATTTTTCTGCCCTTTTTGTCCAAATCTTTTGAACCATGGCAGATCCATGCTTCAACTTCATCCCTACTCCAAATCACCCAAACCCTTCTTCTCAACCTCACATAAACAACACAATCTTCAACAAATCTTGGTTTCAACCTCAAATCCCTCAAAAACAAGCTCTTCCTCTCATCAACTATCTATCAGCTCCCACAGGACAACATCGCAATGAATCCTCAAGCAGTACTTCCATGGAAGAGTGCTTGTTTTCGACCAATGCCGATGACGACTACGAGAGTGGTGGTGTCACTGTAGACCTACACATAGGTTTCCTAACCCTAGTTCTGATCTGAGGTCTAGGGTAACTGCAAGTGCAAGTGCAAGTGCAACTACCCCATCTGCAGATTTGTCAGCAGACAGATTCCAATGGAATCCGAGTAGTGGTGTTGCAGTTGTAGGGAACCCTATAAGCAAGGGACGGTATTGGATCCCTACGCCCTCCCAGATTCTCCTGGGACCCACTCAGTTCTCATGTCCCCTTTGCAGCAAAACGTTCACTAGGTACAACAACTTGCAGGTAACAAAACGCCCTTAAATCTGCCTATTGCATTACATGATTTAAGCCGATCTTGGGGTGTTTTCTAAAGTCATTTTTGCTTTCTGAAACCCCATATATACATATATATGTGTGTGAGTGTTTGATGTGAGGGTGATGAGATTTTCCAGGGTTTTCAGACTGATATCAATTGGAGTTCATTTGAATGCTCCAAAACTGTAGAGAACTGTTTTGCTACAGTAATGAATATACATAGTTATAGTCTGATGCTTTTTGCAACAGACAGATGACAGACAATAGTATTATCTGACACAGCTTGACAATTAGAGGACTTTAACTAGTACTTAATCACAATTAACAAGGCCAAATCTCATGTTAAATCCCCCCAAAATGTTGTTGACAATCAGCATTTTTGTCATTATAGCATGCATCTGCAGAAACCTTTCAATTATGTAGACCTCGATCGTTAATTAATTAAGCATATTCATAAGTAGGTAATACTATTCATCCTTTAGAAATGTTATATATATATATATGAGGACGTGTTTCATTTTGAAGTTGATTAACTTTGGAATACTGGTGATCTATAGTAACCTGTACTGATTTCATCACTGTTAATACAAATCTTCTTCAGCCAAGCAATATATATATATATAGAGAGAGAGAGAGAGATGGTTTAGGGGTTCTTGTAGTGGTTCCTTTACGGTGATGTATTTCCTCAGTTCTTGTTGAAATGAAATATATATGTAATAGATTGGAAAAAAACATTTTAATAAATATATCATATCAAGTTTCTTCTAAACCCTACTCCAAAAGTTTAACAAAGAACAACACTGATTCATTTTGAAATCTGATTTCAAATGATTCTATAACTATTAGATTGGATTGGATTAGAACATACTGATTTTCATGTTTTTTTGTCATCTTTATATATGATTAGTGGTCACATACAAACACATATATATTTAAAATCAACAAAGATAATAAAAAACACTAAAATTGATAGATTATTATTCAATTCGATCGAATAGATATGGTTTTTTTTTAAAATCAAAATCCAGAGTGAGTTGTTGCTATTTTCTATTAAAAACTTTAGGGTTGAATTTAGAACAAACTTGATCGAATGTATTTTCTAAAATATCATTTGCCAATTCATTAGGTGTATTTTATTTGTAAAATTATGGTTAAACAATTATATAAACTGACTTAATTCTTTTACTTCCTGTTATTATTTATTAATATAAATTCTTTCATCTTACACCATCATAGATTTTTGGCTTTGTAAATGCATGCATGCATACATACATACACATGCATATAATCTTTGGTTAATATGTCTTTCACCTTATCTCTCTCAATCCCATCATCATGCATGAATGTATGCATGTACGTATGTATGTATTGTGCAGATGCATAAATGGGGGCATGGATCTCAATACAGAAAAGGATCCGACTCACTAAGAGGAACCCAACCGACGGCCATGCTGAAGCTGCCTTGCTATTGCTGTGCACCGGGTTGCGCCCACAACATCGACCACCCAACAGCCAGGCCGCTCAAGGACTTCAAAACGCTTCAAACGCACTACAAGAGGAAGCATTGGATCAAGCCGTTCGTGTGCCGGAAATGCGGCAAAGCGTTTGCGGTGAGAGGAGATTGGAGAACCCACGAGAAGAACTGTGGGAAGGTTTGGCGTTGCGTTTGCGGCTCCGATTTCAAGCACGAACGGTCCTTGAAAGATCATATCAAGGCCTTCGGTCCGGCCGGTCACGGCACCGTTGGAATCAGTTTCTACGAGGATGATGAACCGAGATCAGAATTCTAGTCAACGTGAGAGCTTAGTCTTTCTTTCTACATGAAAGGGAAGAAACGTTTTTCTTATTCCGGGAACATGGTGTCCGCATGTGTATAATTAGTAAAATGTATCAGTATCAAACTGTATTCATGAAGGCATAAGTGATGCCATTTTGTATGCTATCAACACATAACGTATGTATGTATGTATCTACCTATGACTGAGTCGAATTACGACTGGTGACTTTCACATTAGGTAGGAAAGAACAACTCTCAATTCTAACAAAAACTGATGACCTAATTAATGAGTATAGCCGATTCAGGTTGAAAACAAAAGTTTAATCATTCTCCAATTTACAATCACAAAGAATTATATAGCAGCATAGATTGATCGTTGAATCAAATTATGACAAGTCACTTTTATTTTAAGCACGAGAGAATAGTTCTCGATTATATTTAACAAATTAATAAAATTTAACTAATAGGTTTAATTAAGTTGGTTGGAGGCTCAACTTTTATTTATAAAATTTCATAATCGAGATCATATTAACTAGATTGTTTATTATTTTTAGTTATATAATATATTATATACCTAATAGTTGAATTATTTTGAAATGTTTTAATTTATAAAATTAAATAAAGTAACCAAGTAAACCTATCAGTTTTAAATTTATAGAGTTAAATAAATTTAAATAATGATTAATTAAATCAATCTAATTAAAAATATCAATCAAATCAATCAAACATGAATATTGTATTAGCGATGGGCATGGGACTCGAACCCGACGGGTTCCGATTAGACTTGATCCAATCGGGTCAGGTTTTTTTAAAGAAATTTGGGTTCGGGTCGCTTTTTTAAGGTGATGGTCGGGTCGGATTTGAGTTTAGGGTGAAAAATACCAACCCGACCCGGAATTTTTTTTACCTTATATATTTAAAAATAATTACAACAATACCCTTCTATATATATATTTTTTGAATTAAATAACTATTTTATTGAATAAAAAAATATTTTTATTATTATTTTGGGTCGGGTCGGATTGAGTTCGGATTTTATCTCAAAAATTCGGGTCGGGTTCGACTCGGGTGGAGGGTATATATTTTTTGGGTCGGGTGAAGGATGTAAAATTTTCGGGTCGGGTCGATCGAAACCCGACCCATGCCCATCCCTATACAGTATTACCTATTTATTAATAACATGATAAGTAATAAGTAAGTATTTTATTTATTTATTATTTCTCAAACCTTAATTAAAAAAATTTAATTAAAAAAACATTTTAATCGTTTGCTTACTACAATTACGGCTTGAATCTTAAAAAGGAATCCACAAGGGGCCATTCCCACAATTATGCCAAAATCCATGGGCCCTTTCAATACGGAAATCCAAAAGAAAAACCCTAGGCTGCTACGTTAATCTAAATGTTGTGTTTGGGGCTTCAATTTCGCTTCCCCTCCCTCTTTCCTCACCTATCATTCAAGCTGTTGATATTTTTTTTGCAACAAATAAATTCAACGAATTAAATTCAATTCTTTTGGCTTCTTTCATTCCCCCTCTCAATCCATCGCCGTTCGCTATTTCGTCCATGTCTAAGACTAAGAGGTGAAAACTCCTTCGATCAATCCCCCGATCATCAATTTTCCTTTTCAATTTAATCGTAATTTGGGTTTTGTGAGTATTTGATGATGCTTTCAATTTTTGTTTTTGTGTATCTGACGGTTGTCGTGACTATTTCTTCTCTATGCCACGTGTTTTTTTCTGTTGCTAGCAATTTGTTTTTTTTTATGATTATGAGCATGTTCTGCGCGTTGATATTACTGATTTTTCTGAAATTTAAATGAACTTGGTGTATGGATGAAGCGGAATGATGACCTGTTTAGTTGGATGTTGGAAATATATGTATTGAAATTACTAATTTTCGTGAATTCTCGATTATGGGTTTTCTTTTAAAAAATATTTTTGTTATGTTTCAGAGTTCTCTGTAAGTTCTTTGTTCATGGAGCATGCTTCAAAGGGGAGAATTGTGAGTTTTCCCATGATTGGAAGGATCCGCCAAATAATGTAGGAAGTGCCCTTTGACCTTTCTGTTTTCTCTTTACCCGCTGCTGGTCCTCTTTTGTTACCTTATTGTTTCATCTTACTTGGTCATTGCAGATTTGCACATACTATCAGAAAGGAATCTGTTCATACGGTAGTCAGTGCAGATACGAACATGTTAAGGCTTCCCAATCAGATTTATCTGCTTCATCTTCGTCAACAAAGCATCACCAATTCGGGATATCTGGTTCTGTTCCTCTAGGTCCTTCAACGAGCACATTTCGTGGTTCTGCTGTACTTTCAGCTACTTCAGCAGAGTTTCCTGGTTCCAATGGAGGGTTCCTTCCTCCCGTCAAAAACGCATGGAATTTGGAATCTGAACATCAATATCTATCGGATGATGGCGATGTTTTGGAGCCTAGGAGTGGTAATGTAGCTGATCGTTCCATCTGCTCGTTTGCTGCAGCTGGTAATTGCCCCCGTGGAGAAAAATGTCCTCGTATTCATGGAGACTTGTGTCCCACCTGTGGGAAACATTGTTTGCATCCTTTCAGACCTGAAGAAAGGGAGGAACATATAAAAATGTGTGAGAAAAAGCAAAAGCACCTTGAGGCATTGAAATATAGTCAAGAAATAGAATGCAGTGTGTGCCTGGATCGCGTTCTATCAAAGCTCACAGCAGCTGAACGGAAGTTTGGGTTGCTTTCAGAATGTGATCATCCGTTTTGCATATCTTGTATTAGAAATTGGCGTAGCAGTTCCCCATCGTCTGGGATGGATGTTAATACTGCCTTAAGGACTTGCCCAATCTGTCGCAAGCTATCATATTTTGTCATCCCAAGTGTGATTTGGTATAGCACTCCAGAAGAAAAGCAGGAAATTGTTGATAGCTACAAGGCAAAACTTAGGTAGCGCCACTTCAGTTTCTATCTTTTCTTTATTTCCTGCATACACCTACCACATGAATTATGAATTTATTTAAATTCTCAAACATGTGTATATAATTGAAGGGTTTATTTGGATGATCTCTAATATTTGTCTCATGTATTGTATATTATCTTAATCATTTGAAATTGACGACCATAAATTTTATTAGCGCATGTGAATTTGCTATTCAAACTATTAATTTCATTTTTTCTTATAAAAAAAATTAATTTCATTTTTATATTGTTGTTTTTTATCTGCAGGTCAATAGACTGCAAGCACTTCAACTTTGGTAATGGGAACTGCCCTTTTGGGACTAGTTGTTTCTACAAGGTAATAATTGTCTATTTATTCAGGTTTTTGAAACAGAGAATTTCCTTTTCCAAATTTGCATCGTTTCATATCCTAGTAAGTATAAACTACTATAAGCATTTTAGACGTGATTTTATGTTATAATCCTACATTTTCCGCTTTTCTGTGTTTGTGGATATTCTTCTCTCATTGTGTCACTATGGTTGCTCAATTTGAGCAGTTTAGCCAAATCTCTACCAGGATACCAAACAATTAGACTTTTATCTAAAGAGGCTAGTGTAGGAATAAAAAAATATTTTTTATCTCAACAACATTTGACAACCACAAGCTTTTATCACAATTTCCTTGAATAAAATTGCTACTGATATTTGGTAAGAGGAACAAGTATGAGAGCAGTGGATGATTCCAGCAAAACTAACCGGGAAGGCAGAGATGATTAATCATGGTTGAGATCTGGACCAAGTGGATGCAAGGAAAGATTGTAATGCACCAAATATGATTTTTGTACAAGGAGTAATCATCAGAGAGGACAATGGATGATAAATTACGGACTGTGTTTGAATTTAGAAGCATTTTGGTTTGTTTATATGGCTTCCTAATTCCTGCTTTCTCTATCTCTCTCCCTTTGCTACAAATACACTATTCACAAGTTCACTAGCAAATTGCAAAATGCTTCAAGATTTTGTTTCCCCTAGTGTATTCTCTCCTTCCTATTTATTCATTTATATGCAATTTACTTTAGTCATAGAGAGTGTTAGTTTACGATTCTTTAATCGATGCTCGTTTGTCTTCCAGCATACCGTCAATCCAGGTTCTTATGCATGGAAATACCACAGGCCACCTCCTTGCAGATCCAATGTTATAGATGTGGTCATAATTTTTTATGTCTTTGAGCACTTAATTCAAGAAGATGTATGAATATTTTTGATGCGGAAAATTTGGAAAACGTTGATATATCTTTGGAGATGGCCTTGTTTTTAATGCAACTAGATTATGAATTGAGTGACTCCTCAAGCGATGAGGAGTATTTTGACTATTAAGTTCCTAAAATTAATTGTGCTCCATTTTGCTGGAATTATGGAAATGTGGTAGCATTGGTGTTTCTCTAGTCCAAGACTGTCTTTAAGACTTAAAACAACGTTAATTAGTATTGAATTCTGGATTAAGTTATGAGAGTTTGAATTACTTTTCTTAACAGTTTACATTAGTTTGAGACTGCGTGGGGGTATTAAGGTGTAAGGGTGTTGCCTTGCAATCATGGAATTTGAATTTTTTTTGGATTGTTTTGTGATGCCTCCTGCTTCGTGTGTATGTCAAAAAATTGAATGTTTTCCCTATGTTAGCCAATATGTTCTGGATAAAGAAATGTTCATTGGACCAAATGGTGTATATATGAAATCATCATTCAAAATATTGGCTTTAAAAATGTTATCTTTATTTTTTAGCATCCTTGTTTTCAGTGCATATCATCCAAATATGATCTAGGATTTTCTATTTGAATACTAGACCTGCATTTTTGTATTCTTTTTGTGTTATGGTTTTATTACTGGCAAAACTTTCTCTAGTGTATTTTCATGGATGTTATGTATTTGTAGCATGCATATCGAGACGGTCGGTTGGAGGAAGTTGCTCTGCGTCATCTTGGAGCGGAAGACGGGCACACCATCATAGCTAAGAATATTAGGTGCTTTTGTGCCACTTTTGTTCTTTCCTTTTATTTATATAGATTTGTGTGATACCTCATCTGCTACATTCGTTTCTTTTATTTCGTTCTTAACTATGTTGAGGGTTGTTTCCAGGTTGTCAGACTTCCTCAGTGACTTGCACATTGGGTGAATGTTCACAATATCTTCAACAATGTGAGTATGTTCACAATATCTTCTACAATGTGAGTTCTATCTTAGATTGTCGTAATCCTCTTACAAATACATCTGATAGCCATTGTGAAACCTTGAATTTGCATCCGAAATAAAAATACCCATTTGTTTCCTGGATGTTTCTATTGAATCCCAACACATTGTCATGCATGCAGGATATCTAAATAATGCAAGGACCTATATGCAGCTTTTAATGAAAAACTCTTCTTCGGTTTCTAGTGTTGCACTCTATTTGAAAAGGTAAAAATATTGAACAAGTTCCATTCTTTGGGGGTAATGTTGCATGATTGCGAACATGAACCTTTAAAACCGGAAATGCAGGATTGCGGAAAAGGAGGAACCAGAGGCTGGAATCATGGGGGGCATGCTGTGGTTATATGCAATAAAAACTGCATCTCTAATATTTAAAGAAGTAGAAAACTATTTGTGGGGTGACAATGCTGAGTGATTGATGGATGATAAATGTTTGTTGAATGAAGGCTTTGGAATTTTAGTAAGCCAATGGCGATTAGTTTGAATAATCAAATGAGGGTGGCAGTGTTTATTACTTAATGCTTTCCCTCTAATCAGTGGAACACTCCAAAACTGTACTATATACTTATATATCATATATGTAGGGGTTATGCTATGCTTTGATATGGTCTCCCAGGTTGTGGTAAATTAGAGATTTTCATAATATATATAGCCAGCGTAGTAGTCCAGGGTTATTTGTGTGTTTGATGCTCTGTTTATTGTATATGGTGAATTTTCTGTGGAATAAAATACAACCAAAATATACGTTTGTTAATATGTTAGATTTTGCTGCTGCTCGTCGGCTAGTAGATATATATATTAAATAGAAAGATGTGATTCTAATGTAGTATCTTGTTAGAATTTTTTAATCTATTGATAATGCCTATACACCCTTCTAAAATAATTGTTTGAATCCATTACTTCTAGAGAGAATAGCATTTTCTTTTACTTATAGATATGAAATTATAATCGAGTGTAATGTACTTCTAAGTAATTGGCCCTTGTATCATGAAGAACAAATTATGTAACAAAGGGTTTTATTGTTTGTTCAAATGGTATTTCGAGTTTGGGACCAGCTTTTCTTCCATGTAGAAATTAATGATACTTATCTTCTTTATCTTTTGAGCTATTCTATCAAATTGGTTGCTCAAAATCTAAGTCGAATTTTATTATTTAAATTTTATTAATTCATTATTTAAGTGAAATAAAATATATTTATCGAAATTTAATTAATTATATATAACGTTATGGTATTAATTAAGAAATTTTGAAGATGGGTTGTGGTATTAATTCAGAAATTTTGAAGTTGAGTTAATAAGAGTATAAAACAAAAAGGGTAAATTACATAGGTGGTGCTTTATATTTTTGATCCGTTTAATTTTAGTTATCGATTCAAAAGAAGATTAATTTTGATCTTATATTATTGATTTAATATATTTTGATCCATTGTCGTGAATTCTCGTTAACCCGGTAATATAAATCTGATTTTACAATCTTCGAGGATGCACTCGATCTCTAGTATGATGTTGTTTCACTTAACAAGTAGGATGGTGGGGTAAATGGAAAAGGAAGACTGAAGGTGTGCGTGATGTGAATGTAATCTTAAGGCGCAAGGTTGACCGATAAGATCTTAACAGTTTCTGGATACATGGAACAGAATACTCGTGATGCGTGAATTCCGCTCTGCCTCTTCTCCTGCTCTCAATCTCACCCCTTGTCATCAACTATGATCTGCCAACTCAAACTGGTGTGGCCATTAACTTTGTGTGACTAGTGATGACGAGACAATGACTTGCAGAAGTTGTAAAGGGTTTTTGTTGCTTTTGCATGTCCTATTTAACGTGCTCTTTTCTTGTTTCCTTTTTGCTTCTTTGGGTCCTGCACATTTGCTACATAAATGACTGTCCAGTTTGATTTGCAGTGGGTTTCATGTTCTGATGATTCTCAGCACTTGGCTCACTTGAGCTTATGCCTTTGGCCTCGTAAGTAATGCTTTTCAGCTTTCGTTTGCTCTCATTTTGTTTTCGGTATATATTCATTTCAAGGCAAATGTAAGTGCTTCATCCTTTCGGCCCAACCCTCTTCACTACCAACTATATCTTATCCAATTGCTGCTCTTTCCTTTTCTTTCTCCCATCAATCTTCTTCTTCTTCTTGTTTTACGAGAAAGGGGCGTTTAGATTTTTAATAAAAATATATAGATATAATGTAAAAATTAGTTTTAAGGTGACTTATTTCATTTTTTTTAATTGTCAAATCAAACTTTTATTATTAGTTAAAAGTTTACATTCAAGAGACCAAAACGGAACGGTAATAACCTAAGAGATCAAAATTGATCTTTTTTCAAATCAATAATCAAAATCGAATGACCAAAAATACAAGAACCACTCGTCAATAATTTTAATACACAAATTTTAGTTATTCAATTAACTCAACTTGAATAATTCGATTCAAAAAAATAATCTTTTTAGATTTATGATACAACAAATTTCCTCTTTTTTGGATTATTTTCTTCTATTTTCTCCTTTTTTTTCATTATGATATATAAATCGAAATGTTCAATGAAAATTCAAAAGAAAAAACGGTCCCTTTGCTTCCAATACCAAATCTAAGCAACTAGACATATTCCTCTCCCCTCCCACACCTACAAATGCCAATGCCTGAGATTGCAAACTTTCTAACGAAAACACCACTTTCCCACTTCTATTACATACACCTCTCTCTCTCTATTCTAGACACGTCTCCAGGTGTCGGAGAATCATCACGTTCGGATTTTTCATACCAATGCAACATCGGAGGAAGTATGTTGAAAAAATGAGATTACTGAACTAGGAGGCAGTGGCATTCCCTTCCGACTTGGGATCTGTTCTGATATAGGTGAGACTACGGGCAGTAGGAGAAGGAAAATTACCCGCATCAGATGGAGTGGCCTGAGCATCACGCTTCCACTGAAAGCTTCTGGCACCGGGTTTTATAGGAAGGTGAGAACTGAATGCACCTGGAATACCTCTGGCAAAAGGTGTTCTAGCAAACCTTGCAGCAGCAAATGGAGAACCCCGAGCTATGCGGGGCCATGTCATGACAGGAGCAGCAGCTTCTTGAGGAGCAGAAGCTTTCTTCACAACCTTCAGCAAGAAGGAAATTGAACAGGTTGAATAAAAAGGTAGAGCAATATCGGTATGCATGGCAAGTTGGACATAAAAACTCAATAAAAAGGTTGAATAAAAGAACAGAGAACAAGGACTAAATACCTTGAGAATCCGTGACATGAACGATGTACCATCCAGAGATAAAGCATTGGCTGCTGCTTCCTTTTGCATGAACTCCACATAAGCTGACCTGTGTAGGGATTGCACCTTAGAAAAAAGGGGTTCCTCACAGAAATGCAAAGAGAGGAAACAGACAGACGTATTCAGAACAAGTGTTTCAAGCAACTTACCCTTTTGGTTGTCTCGTTGCCGCATCCATAACTATAACAACTTTTAGCACTTTTCCAAACTTATTAAAATGTCGAGAAAGACTATCCTTGGTAGCAGCAAAATGCACCTGCTTATCAATGGTTACAGCACCATATATTGTCAAAATGAGTAAGGGAGACTATCCTCTTTCTAAACTAGACAGATAAGTTTGGTTTCTCACATTGCTTACAAAGATGGTTCGAGAATCAGCATCCTCTAAATGACGACCAGCAGCATGTGGAACTGCAGAAAGAAAATGGCAAAAATTAAACATGTTAAGAATGCAAGAAAATTTCCAACATAATAGAACATCAATTAAGAAAGAGTTTAATCAAAAGAAGATATAGGTCACAATACACAAGATAATTCCAAGTTTAACGCATGCAACCAGGGTTTTAAATAGCGTTCGCGGACACGTTTTCGGTCGCGTCGCGTTTATCGCGGTCGCGGATATAACGGATGCCATCGCGTTCACTGCGGGTGTCGCGGTCGTGAATTTTTTTAAAATTTTACACAACTTATCTTAAAATATAATAAAAATAATTATAATTACAAAGAATAATTTTTAAAGATTTTTAAAATGATTAAATCAAATAGAATTAAAATAAAAGTGTAAAATTTAAATATTTGAAATTTTAATTACTAAAATTAAGACTAAATTAAATGAAAATTAAACTTTACTATCTAAATTAAGAATTAAATTAAAGAATAAAAAAAGAATTAAGAATTAAATTCTAATGCTAACTCATAAATCTTAAATAAAATATATGACAATATTATAAGTTTAGATTCTTTAAAACCTAGTTTGTAAAACAAATTTTCTTCACTGGTGAATGAGATAATTTTACCTATTTTTTTAATATAATTGGTAGGCCCTTGTTCTCATTTCTCTCATCTTCTTCACTAGTTTAGTTCAGTTCTTCGCTTCTTCTTCCCATCCCCATTCCCCAGTTCAATCTTCTTCGTTTTTACTCTCACCCATTTCACTCTTCTTCAATCTTCACTAAATGGAAGATTGCATATTTGAAACCCCAAATCCCCGAATGAAGATTGTATCTTCAATCTTCCTAAGCTAAGCGGGCGATAAGCTAGATCTACTCCTTCACCGGCGGCGAAGCTCGACGGACAGAAGACTTCTTAGTTTCTACTGACTGGCCTTTATTTTTTCGGCTCTTCCCCTTCCCGATTGGTTTTTGGTAAGATGCGTGGGTAATGGGTATTTGATTCTACCGTTCACTAAATAGTTTTGTCTATATTCTATTCATTTTGATTTTTGTTTTTTGTATACGGTTGGTTGAATTCTTGATTGCAAAGGGAATGTTTATTTTTGTTTTTGTCTTTGGAATCACGGGTGAATAACGGTCGATGCGTCCCGTTATTGGCGCAATCGTCCGTTTCCCGTTATATCGCGGACGCAATTGATCGATATTGGTGTGAATCAGTGACCCACCGCAAAAACCATAAAAAACGGTTTCGGACGGTGGCGCGACCGCTATATAACGGCCGCTATAGCGTTTTCGGAACGCTATTTGATACCCTGCATGCAACAGCCAAATAATCAATCCTAACAATAGTCCCTATGTCTACTTAGACTTTGTGACAGCTATCGTTGATAAGCTTAGAGGTTTGAATGGTATTATTAGATGGGTGGCTAGGTCAGCCAATGTTGAGGCTGATAGTTTAGCTAAGGCTGGTATTGGCTAGATTTACTGTTTTGGTTTGGTTGGGTTATCTTTTAGGCTTTGGGTTGGTTATTTGTAATGAGCGACTGCATTGTTGTCTCTAAGCTTTTGTAACTTGCGGGTATTAATGAACAATTCCATTAATCATGAAGGGGGTTTTTTAACAAGGCCTACAATTCCTATAAAATAAAAACAATAGAAGGCAACTCACCGGAAGAAGGCTGCACTGCTTTCCTAGACATTTCTTGGTTATAAGCAGCACTTTTAACCTATAATTAACAATAAAAGTAAATTTCAACAGCCCAAGTGCAAAGAATAAGGGAGATAATAAATTTAGGAAGAAAATCCTACATTTCCATTCAAGACAGTAACCGGGTTGCCATTCTCCATCAATCTAATATTAGATTTGTCGGCAGCCGTTTCACTCTCTGGAAGAGATTTTCGA